AGACCAGCACGTTGCTGAAGAAGGCGGAGTCGGTGGATGAGGCGGTGCGCGTCGTGAATCAAGCACTGCAGGAGTATTTAGCCAGGGCGATGGCGTCGTCCGCGGAGGCTATTGATTTGGAGTTGCCTTTTTCGGCGTTGGGTGGTGAGTATCATACCTGTATATGTTTCGTTATAGGCTTTTACTGACGGTAGGGGTTTTAGTTGACTCGCTCAAAGCCGCGGAGGTTCAGAACTGGGTTAGTCGCGAGATGGGCGCGGAGTTGTCCTCGTTTGAGTTTATTGGGGCACAGCCGGTGAGAGTGTTGGCAGAGAAGATTGCCACGCTGAGCTCGTTTGTTACTGTTACGTAGATTGCGTATATTGGCTCCTTGTTCAATATTGAAGTTGCAGCAGGCTATATAGGATAGATTGTCAACATGTGATTGCTATAAAACACCCCAATGAAACAGACTGCCGATTAGTATAACCGCTATATATATAAATCAAAGTCTATTGAAGCAAAATCCCAACAATCCACCATCTAATTATCCCCCAACAACATCCTCGCAAACTGCGTAGCCGCGGCCCTGCGCTTATTCGCAATATCCAAGAACACATCCTTAGGCCCAATACCTCCCACGATGATTTCGTCCTTTCCTTCCACTAGACCCTGGAATGCCTCATCCGTGAATTTCTCCAGGGGCATACCGACTTTACGCCCTTCTTCACCCATGAAATCGTGGAGTTCGGCTGCAGGGGTAGTCAGTCAAACAAATATATATTTTTAGACGAATAGATGAGGATGACAGTAGAAGTACTACTATGAAATGGATATGGACAAACTCACATTGCACCGCCGGCGGCGACACCTCAATAACCTTCACTTCGGTCTTACGCAACTGATCCCGCAGACAGATAATGAAGGCGCCCAGGGCGGCCTTGGAGGAAGAGTATGCGGGCATCCAGGTTGCGGGGACGATGGCGATGTTGGATGTGGTGCTATACATGATGATCATTGATCAGTATATACTGTCATCTCTGATAGTATATATATATATATATTTGGATATTGTGGAATGGCACGCACTAAATCAAGCTTGTATCTCCCCCTTTCCTGGTAAGATATGGCAAAAAGGCATGCGTCAACGCAACATAACTGGTAAAGTTTACGTGCATTTGCTTGTTGAAGCTGGATAGGTCGAATTTCTCGGGGTCGGTCATGTCGGTGGGGAGCATGATGCCGGCGTTGAGGAAGATGCTGTCGATTGTGGGGGATTTGGTCATCAGCCTATCATGAGAATAACTTTAGTATTCATTGTTGGTTGTAGATGTAGATAAAGTATCTGTAGTAGGCACTTACTCAGCAGCAAACCCAGGAATCTTATCCAAATCACTGATATCAAACTGGACCGCATTGGCCTTGTCTTCGCCGTGCTCTTGCACGAACTCGTCGAGGCGCTCTTTGCGTCGTCCGACGACTGTGACTTTGGCTCCGGATTGCACGAAGCGTGATGCGAGAGCTCGTCCGATGCCAGCAGTGGCGCCGATGATGAGGATGTGCTTGTATGGGAAGGACATTGTGCTTTGGGTAGTTGCTCTGGATTGAGTTCGGTTGTGCTTGGGTTGAATTGAAGATGCTGAACTGCATCACCATCATAGCTTTTATATACTTTAATAGATCGAGTAGTAGTGATTGGTAGAACCGGACAGCAGAGTTGGTGGGCCGAAGCTTGATCTCCGGGATTAAGATTAGAGTGCAGTACTAGTGTGGCTGTCGGCTTCCGAACTTAAAGCCGGGATGGACGGACTTCCTTTTCGGATTTCTGGATAGCTTCATCTGGAAGAGGGGGGAGATCGAGTATCATTTTAGATGATAATGGAGATATTGGACTCTACGGATTTATGCTGTTATTTTGGTTTGTGCATGTGGTGCGCAAGATGTGATCACTGCTACCGTCAACACCATTGACTTGTATACAAAGCTGCATTTATACTTCAAGTAGCCCTACGCCGAGACTCAGTTATAGGATGTTCATCCCAGCACACTCTACACTACTAAAGTCCTCTGCTTCACTAGAAGCTTTGTAATGTGCTCAATTTCACACAGCTACTAACACAGCACATGTTCCCTGGTAGCCAAACCCCCCTTCTAAGAAACAGTAGCCATCACGTGGCGTAGTGCCAGTTGCGTGAATAAAAAATCCACTGATGTCCCAGAAGAGGCAACGCGTCTCGCTTGTCAACGCGTTGTATACAACAGGTAGTGAGGGCCTTATCTTTCTCGCACAAACACAGCACCTTCTACCTCTTCATCTTCTTTCTTCTACAAGGTGAAATCACTGATCATCTCATCTTTCATCTCATTTCTCATCTCGCTTTCTGCATACACTTCCATCATAATCCATCTCCCTATCCATCATTGGCATACAGATAGTCAATCATCATGGATAGTGCATTCCCTCAACGTCCCTCCTTCGTGAAATACGGCCCATACACCTACGATGACTATGGAGTCACCGTAGCCAGCATCCCCAGAGCCTCATCGTTGATCCTGGACACGCTCTTCCCCGTGAAACCGGTCACTGCACCCAGCAGACGGCCTGTGAAGCGTTGGATAGCCGCCCAGCTTCAGCATTTTGGCATCCCCTATGAGCCTTCTAATACTGTTGCTCAGCTGTTGGCTCTGCTTGAAAAAGAATACAGAGACGGACACGTAAACACTCCCCTTCATCTTGATCCTCAATCCTTAGAAACAAAAGCTGACCAAAGACGAACCAGTGCAAGTATGACTCGCCTTCAGTCCTCCTCCTCGAAAAAACCTTGTACGACATGTACCAAGCCGTACAGGAGGACTACCAGCAGCAAAAGGCTGACTGGCGGGTGAAGAAGTTCGCTCGTCAGGTCACTCCCTCCGACGAAGCTCTGTTCGACCCTTCTCTCTTCATGGCCAAGTACTTCCTCGACAAGGAAGACGGAGTGCCCGACAAGAGCAAGCAGTCAAAGGCCATTGTCCTGCACAACGTGTACAACCAGCAGTTCGTGAGCATTGCTCTTTCCATCCCCGGTCTGAGCTTCCAGATCAGTCACCCGGCCACCGTCATCGGATGGGCAGACTCCTTCGAAGAAGGCTTGGATGCAGGTTTCGCCAGTCTGGCAGACAACCACATCAAGGAATATGTGCCGACCTTCGAAGCGAACTTTGACCACCGCCGCTTCCTGAAGAAGTACTTCCTCTCACTTGACTACCCCTTTGAGATGGGTGTCCCCGCTCACGACAGAACCCTGGAGCCCGTTCAGCTCATGCCGCAGCTTTATTTCGACGTGCGCGAGAAACTCAGAAAAGCCGTAGCCAATATCAACGGTCTCTTGATCGCCACTACCCCGGGCCGCGGCGGTACCTGGACACTGCTGACCTGGAGCGAGCACGCCGAGAAACTCACCGGAGTAGTCGCCAAGATCCACGCCGCCGGTATGAACGAGAAGTTGTACGACGATACCATCATCGCTCAGGTGTGGCAGACCAAGCTTAGTCGCCACAACCTGTTCAAGCAGCTCGTGAACCCCAATAACATCACTCCATTGAGATTGGGCAACCTCCAAGGCCAATATGTCATCCGCTGCAACGTCATCGACCCCTGGGGCTACGAGGACTTCTCTCTCGACATCAACGCACCCCGTCGCAACGATCCCGCCGCGCGCGCCACCTTCTCTCTCGGAAAACTGCAGGGAGCTATGATCCTCGCTCTGGACTGCGAAAAAGTCGACCAGATGCGCAAAATGCTGGACAAGAAAAGCACTACCCAGAATCACACTCCCGAGTCCGATGATGACGATGATTGGGAGAAGGTTCCCCGCCTGACCGTCCACCGGTTCAGAAACGACAATGTCAAGTGGCGCGTCTACCTCCAGTACGCTGGTACCTGCAACGGCCTGAACCAGGTCGACGAACACAACGAGCAGGTCGGATACATTGACTTCAACGTCGACCCTGAGCGAAGCGACGACGATGAGAAAGCCGTGGGATATGGTCTTGCCTACGGCCGCGGTTATATCGTCGGTCCGAAGTATATGACTTCGCGCAGGAGTGAGAAGGGCGAGATGCTCCCCATTGAGGTCTTCAAGTGGACTGGCGAAACCGTGAGAGTGGCGGCCCCTTGGAATGCGTTCAACTTCTGGGGTGGTTTTGAGGCTCGCTTCAGAGTTTGTGAGAGAGCTATGACTATGACCAAGGGGTATGAGCTTTAGCTGCCTCTTTCTATCTTTCTCTCACTGTGATTGTGATGATGTGAGATCTCTCTTACCTTGTTTTCTGATTTTGTCTGTTTAATCTGTTTTCGCTTTCTTCCTGTATTTCCCTGTTTGTTTGTTCTTTTATTGTGTATTCAAATGTTTTTCCCTGTTCCTTTTAATGTTTGTGTGACTGTTCTGCTTTTTTTATGAAAAGGTTGTGAAAAGAAAAAGTGAGCTGATGGATGGCGTCGGCGGTGTTTGGGTCTTGTTTCTTTCTTTTCATTTTCATTTTCCATGTGCGAGTATACCCCGGATGGAGTTACTTCTTTTTTTTTTTTTTTTTTTTTCTTTTCTTCTTAACGAACGTACGAGCCATGATGAAAAGCCTCGCTGTTGACTGAGAGTAAGGTGGATGAGATGGCTGATTTCTTTTCTTTCAAACTAACGGGATACGATGAGATGCGATAAGTCGATGGGGAGGGAAGAAATCGAAATGTATGATAGGTATCTCAGATAATGTGTCACCGACTTTACTTACTTACTTGAGTGACAAGTTAATGCAATTCATTGAATTGAGAAATTAGTGCGTTTGCATTACTTACCTGGTCGGATGTACGAGGTTCCGGTACTCTGTCTTCATCTCTTCTGCATTTGCATTTCATATGGGAACTGATTCAGTTCGATTCAATGAAGGCAGCAGCAACACGCGGATAGTAGCTAGCTCGCTAAGTACACCTACAAAACTAACCACTATCAGGCCACAGTAAGATAGAGAGAAGAAAGAAGCATACATCAAACCACACACCTCAATCAATGAAATGCGTAAAGGATATCAATTCAACAACATCTGCCTAAGACCACTAACTACTACATCATGCCTAAAAAAATGGTACAAAATCACCGGTAGAATGACGCGGGGTTAGATACGTCCGTTTGAGACGGGTTATACGCCTGGTATCCTCCTCCGGCGTTCAGAGCAGGATAGGGCGTTGGCGTTGTGGATGTACCTGGGACAGGCGGGGGCTGGTGCATAGGCGGCGGTTGGTGTGAAGGGTAAGGAGGCTGTGCTTGGTGGGCAGGAGGGGGTCTGGAGGCGTCTTCAGGAGCGTAGCCTGAAGCAGGGTATTCCGGGTGCGGTTGTTGCTGTTGTTGCGGCTGCTGCTGCTGTTGCTGTTGGAAATGCTGCTGCACTGCGGCAGGGACCTGCACGGCGCCGGGGTATGGTGGTCTCTGGCTGGCGGGATGCTCAACCGGGGAATCGTAGACGGATGTGCCGAGTTCTTGGGGGTTCTCGTATGTGGACTCCGGGCGGTGGTACACGGGCTGGTAGGACTCCGAGGAGGGCTGGCGCTGCTGCGGCGGCGGCTGCTGTGGCTGCTGATACGGGGCGCCAGCAGGTGGTGTCTGACGGGGATCGGGCGATTGTGAAGGGGGAGGATATGCGTGTGCTTGGTCTGCGCCGTAGAATGCTGGCGCGTTGGCCGGAGGCGCTTGTGATTCTGCTAGATGTTAGACAAGCTGTGAGTGTGAGGGTGTCCATGCGGTACTCACCTTGAGGACGGGGACTGAAGTAGCGTTGAGGATCAGCCTGTGGCGGACCTTGAGGATATCCCACAGGGGCGGCACCAGGATAGCCGTAAGGAGGTTGAGCCGGTCGGCCATATTGGGGTTGTGCGGGGTGCGCCATGGACGCCTCCAGCAGAGACTCGTAATCCCTCCGCGCCTTAATAAACTTTTCATTGAGCTGTGTGAACTCGTCTGCAGAGAATTAGCGGAGAGGAAGGATAGAAAAAGAGTTAGAGTGTCGGAATCTTACCCTTCTTCTGCGAGTACTTCCCAATGAGCTCAATCAGCTTGGGGCGAATTGCCAATGTGGAGTGGTACAATGCCGTGATCTCCTCATTGTCCTGCACATTCAGCTCGGAGCTGCGAGTGCTCAGAAGGGTCAACAACTTCTCAACGTTCTTGATCTGACCAAACACATCGGCTTCCATCTGGGCTTCCCGCTGCAACTCCTCAACCGTCGGGTCAGGGAGTTTCTCGACATAGTTAAGGGGGAAGATGCCGGTCTGGCCTCTCAAGGAACCCTTCCACCAATCCTTGTAGACAGACTCGAGGACAGCGATGACATCTCCCTTGCGGAACTGCAGTTCACCGGGTTCTGAAGGCTGAAAGTCGAACAAGGCTCTAACGCGCGAAACTGTGGCGGCAGAAGTACCCGAGGGGACGGCCTGGGACGTGGCAGCAGGTGTCTGGTTCTGGTTGACTGGAGCAGCACTGGAGCTGGCTTCGGGCTGTGGAGCAGGGGCAATCGTGGCCTTTTCTCTTATCGACAGTGCAAGGGCCATTTGCAGCTCCTCCTCTTCCTTTTGGCGATCTGAATCGGTGATTTCCCGCTTTCCAGGCTTCGACGGAGGCTGCAGGTTCGGGTCTAAAATAGTGAGCTTCTCTCCACTATCCACAACTGCTGAAGATCTTACTCTGGGTCTTAAGCTTCATGTATGCTTGTTCCATGATTCCGAAATCCGGGTTACTGGCGAACATCTCCGTCCATTCCTGCATGCGTTCTAGGATCTTCGACTTGACCTGTTGATGGGTGTTCTGCTCGGTATAAGTGCGATGCTCTTCGTCGGTAGAAGTCCAACTCACTCTATCATTCGCTAGACGCAGCAGAGCATCAGTGAAGCTCCTAGACGCAAGCTCGCGATGAATCTTGGGACCGCAGTTCTGAGCGAGGGCGTTCGCCAACTATAGCCGTATCAGTACACATAAGCCCCCAAGCCCGGAGATGCCACAGCATCCAGCACGAACCTCCAAAGTATAAAGTTGCACATTGGCGTTTCTGTGCGCAAGTCTCTTTATCATAGCGGCGACGGCATCTTTCGCTCTAGAAACAAATCCATTGTCAGAATGACGTGCACCGGAAAGGACAACCAACGGCGAAGCATACCCTGACTCCTCGGCACCAACTTTATCGCAAACATCCTAAACACCAGTAACTCCAGTCAGATATATATCATTCGGCCAGTGAACGGCAGGTAAATCGATCTAGGTTTGCGTACCAGGATGTACTCCCAGTTCTCGGAGGTCAGGTTCTCGTCGGTCGCCTTGGCTATACCAGAACACTCAGATTAGCAACACGTAGAGGATGGTAGAGCTGCACAATGTGCAATAAAAAAGGGCCATCTCATACCGACTGCATCGTCAAAGGCGTTTTGCTGTGCGCGAAACATCACGGGGTTGTGTCTCCGAGCGCCCGGGACAATCACTGCGTTGCAACTCGGACTGTTAATTCACGCGAACGAGTTGATTCAGATACTGCTGTATGGCAGACAGCACAAGATATGATATGTTCAAGGAAGCTGCTCGTGTAATGCAAGTCCGGTTGTCCTTGTTGTAGGATCGATGGTTCACTGTTTCCAGGCCGCGAGATGACACCCGATGCGGGGGACACTGCGGTCAGCGGGAGCCGAAGTAAACGAGGTCGGGATCAATTGAGGCGCTTGCGGGTCAAGATCCCTTGAAGACGGGGTATTCCACCAGGACTGGGTATCGAACCACAACGAAGGACAGGGAGGAAGAGATAGCAACTGGATAGTCAAGGGGAAAGGGAAAGACAGGCTGCCACCTGATGCTCAGCAGGTGATCGCGCCGACGGAGAGCAGCGCCTCTGACGCTGACTGGCCGCGCTACGCCCGATTAAGCGAGACCCGCCCCTTTCTGGACTAGTGGGGCACTGCCTTTATTGAAGTTGGCAGGCAATGACGATATTCTTGATATTCTACTTTGTAGTTTCTACTGTGATAGAAATATACCCCGGGTGATTCCTGATGATTGATCGAAAGGTAATAAAAAGTCACATCGTGGTCTTCACGATAAAAATAACAAAGAATATGAATCATGACCATCCCTCACACATAAGCAATAGCCCCATGGCACTTAAAGATCCCTCTATATCAATGTAACCGCTCAAATAATAATCGTCAACTCAAGAACAAGACAGACAAAAGCTCCACACTTTTGTTCTTTTTTTTGTCGTCAAAACAGTCGGGAAAATGCCTCATAAATCATCAAGAATATCGGTCGCTGGAAGAGATGGAGATGGGAAACAACCCAACAGCTGCAAGACAAGTAACAATAAGATGGGGGCCGGTCACCACGCCGGCCACCGGCGCCCGTTCATTATATGAAGCTTCAAGCTTCCTCTTGAGCTTCGGCTCCATGGCAACAATAAACACTCACAAACGACAATATTGACAATAGCTGGACGGATAGCCCCAGGAGATTGTACAGGCTTCTTCACTCGCTCAAAAGCCAACGTCGAAAGAAAGAATCTTGCAGAGAAAACTCGTCAAAAAGGAAGGATATTTCCGCAGGTGATAAGTGGCCAGCGACTCAAGATCAAGCCAAGCGAAGTAAAGGAAAACGGATAGACAAACCATGATCCGGATGAGGTCATCGCCTTCTAGACATTCACAGGAGATGCGAAACCGCCAACACGAAAAGTTGCGAACAAGGGTCTGCCATATGCAATGCCAGCGTCTTTGTCCAGCAAATATGAAATATCAGGGGTAATGGGTATCTGAGAGAGAGCAGACAGAAGACATCGAAGTATATAGTAACAGTTCAAAGTGACGGCACTTAGGCGCCTCCCTTTTGAGCTTTTTCCTGGGCTCTGCTGGCCCGCGCAGCCTTGACAAGGGGCGAGAGATGGTTCAGTGGCGCACAAAGAGACATGAAAGGATGCTGATCGAGCAGTCAGTAATGATTAATGATGGAATTTGTCGATATGACATACCTTAAGCAAATCATGCGCCGAAGCTCGCTTCTCCGGATCCACCTTCAGAGCAAGGTGGAGGAAATCACGGAAAACCGGCGACAAGTTGTGCTCGTCTTTGATGGTAGGCGTGCCGTTGGTGGCGATCAAATACAGGGCCCTTAGAGGCGATTCCGTAAGATAAGGAGGCTCACCCTCGATCATCTCGATGGCCATGATACCCAGACTCCAGATATCAACCTTACGGCCATACTCCTTTCGAGTAACGACTTCAGGGGCCATCCAATACGGTGTACCGACCATGGTGTTTCGCTTGTTATGCGAGTCATTGATTTGGGCACAGAAACCGAAATCGGCTATATCACGTCAGAAAATGAACACTCGGGGCATCGCGAAGGCAGCTTACTTAGTTTGATATTTCCCTCCATTGAGAGAAGAATGTTATCCGACTTGATATCACGGTGAATGACACCCTTCGAGTGAAGGTGCTGTAAACCACTCAAGGTCTAGTAGAGGTCAGTGAGATGCGATATAGATGCAATGAAGCGGTAAAGCTTACCTCTCTGCAGACAGCCGCAATTTGCCCCTCACTCATAATGTTGAAAGTAACCACATCAGTCAAACTGCCACCTTCCATGTATTCCATCACTACCCAGAGGTCCAGACCATGGAGGTAGCTGTCCAAGAAGTTGACAATATTCTTGTGCTTGCTGTCCTTCATAACCAGAATCTCATTGATGATCAGATCCTTCTTGGGTTGCAAGTCCAGGTTCATTTGCTTAATAGCAACACACTTGTTGGTGTTGTTCTCGTAGGCAGTAAAAACACCACCAGACGCACCCTGGCCGATTTTGTTGAGGTGGTGGTACAGCCTAGTAGGGTCCCCGGGCGTACAGATGGCAAGGAGTCGCGACCTGATATCCATCGCATTACTCTGGCGAGGTCGCTGTCGGGGGCGAGCTGCAGGAGCGGCGCGTGCAGCCTCGTCCACCGGGGAGACATGTTGTGGTGGACTCTGGACCGGAGCTTGCTTCTGTTCCTGGCGAGTAGGCGGTTGTTGACGCTGACTGCGGCTACGGTCGAGTTGGATAGTAGCAATCGCCTGCTGGGCCGCGGCCATGGCTTGCTCCTGCTTCTGCTGGTATTGAGCCGGCGTAGGCACATTGTGGGTCGGCCATGGTACGGGCGTACCATTGGCTCTAGAGTTCGACCTGCTCAACTGAGGCTTAGGTTCAGACTGCAAGGGCTCCGTTTCTGGGATGGGAGGCGTGTCGAACTGCGGAGGAGAATAGGCCTCCTGAGGTGGACGTGCGGGCGCAGCACTGTATGATCCCGCGGTTGGTGGCTGAGGTGCAGGCCGAGCCGGTGTGATATTGGCAGGGGTCGGAGGTTTTGGCGGTGCTCGATTGGGGACAAAGCCACCCACCGCTGGGGTTGCCGCCGAAGGCCCACGAGGAATAGGAGGCGGCGCACGTGGGTTTTCGAAGCTACCCTCATGATTCTGTGGAAAGCGAGGACTCGTCGGAGGAGACGTCCGAGCTGAAGTAGGGCCATAGGACCCGGCACCGACAGCAGGAGTCTGCCCTCCAGAGATGGGGCTGGACATCGACTGCGGCTGAGGATAAGCGTGGTCAAACTTGTGCCACACTTCGTCATCGCCTTGAGCATTCTTCTCGTAGAACCTCATGATATCAACCATCGTCTGCGGGTGTTCCTCCTGCTCCTTTTTCGAGATACCGTTTTCCTGCAGCAGCCGTTGCCATTCCTTCGGGAGGCCAGTGAACTGACCGGTCTGATTGTCATAGCCAACATGCGTAACGTGCACCGGATTCTCTGGGGCGGAGATCTTGATGCCTCGGGGGGAGCCTAGCATGCTATTGACGAAGCTGGAGAAACTGCTCTTCTTGCTCCTGCCTCCGCCAAATGGGCGCGAGCCAACACCACCTCCCCCGTCATCGGATAAACGTTTCGGATTCGCCGGGCGATCATTGTCAGTATTCCTGTGCACGAATGTCTCCATCCGGTTCTGTAGAGCCGTGAAGCTGGCAGACTGTCTCAATCCTCGGGAGTCCGGGCTGGTGGCCGATCGGAGGTTTGGGGGTTTTTGGGGGACGGTCTCGGTGGTATTTTCTTGCAATGAACTGAGCATGCCCCGGCTGTCAAACGGGGGTCCGATCAATTCATCTGAGCTTTGCTCGGTGAGAGAGAAACGACCCGAGTGGGGAGGGCGGGATTTGGAGGGGTTGTTGGTGTTCGAGAAGTATCCAGGTTGGTTGCCAGCGATCACCGGAGACGGGCCGCCGCTATTCTGCTCGAGGGAGGATGAAGAAGATCCGTAGGCGTTGGATCTTGTCCTCGAGTGCTCACGACTCCCACCGGTGGAGGAACGGGGGTAGACGGGCGCTGAAGGGTGCCGCTTTAGTGACGTGTTGCTCTGCTGGCTCTTGAGGATGCGGGAGCTGAAACTCGGAGGATCCTTGTGAAGCTTGCTAGACGACCGTCGAAATTTTAGGGAAGAGAAACTATCGTGATTCATGACGTGCAAGATTTAGGGGGAGAGTGGGTTTTGGGGGGGTGCGTGGAGGGACAGGTCGGCCGACTGGCAGCAGCAGCAGCAGCAGCAGGGTTGAGCGACTGGCGGATGAATGGTTTGATTGGAGGGAGGGGGGAAAGAAAGCCACCGGGTGAGGCGGTGCGCAATGCAGCAGTAGTCCCTACCGTCCGTTTCGACGATAGGGTGGACGAACAAGGCCACTAGGCGGGGATGGGGAGGGAGGTAGGAGGGGGGGGGATGGATTGATGGTGTGGTGGTGATGCTGCACGGTCAGATCGATAGCCCCAACCGGGTGAGTATTGATGGATGAACGGAGGAATCGGAGATGTGAGAGAGGGACCCAGAATGCCTGAGCGACGCAAGGGAGGGCGCGAAAGAGTAGCAGCCGCGGACTACCGTCAACCAGTGGTTAGCACGTGGAGAGCCCTTGGATGGATCAGAACTGAGAAGACGGAGTTCGACCAACAGAGGCGGTGACTGGCTCTTCTGAGGGATAAATTTGGGGGGGTGACAGAATAAAAAGGGAAAAATAAAATAAAATAAAATAAAGAGAGGGGAAGGGGGGGGAATAATACTTGAGAGGGAAAATAATAGGGAAAAAAAAAAAAAAAAAAAAAAAAAAAAAAAGCAAGACAACAGATGAGAGGATGATGATTCACTGAGATGCAGGAAAAACTGCAGATAACCGACAGCTCAGCACACAGATCTGCGGCGCCAAAAAAGCAATAATGCAACAGTCACTGGGAAACCAACGATGATGGAGAAAGAAGTGGGAAAAGGCACGGAGAATTGCCATGGGGGTGTGGAAGAGAGGTTGTTACTAGTACGGTGTACAGTAAGTAAGTAGTCACTAGTAGTTTAGTAGTAAAGAGGAGGTGGGAGAAGGGAAGGACCCAGCCAGGTGCTTTTTAGTTTTGGAGATTTGGGACTGGGAACTTGGGAGGGTCGAACCAGTGGCAGCAGTTCGACAACGGCCCGTCTTTGAGAGTCAGTCCGACAATTATTACACTGGGTACTACCATTAGAATAACGGGGCCCAGCCACTGAACTGACTTACTTGGCCTCACAGAGAGTGTGTGTGATGGGGAACCATTTAATATCGTTTGGGCTTAGCAGTGAGTAATTTACTGTCAAATTGGTTTGGGTATGGTAAAGTCAGGACTTGAGCTGCAGTCATTGAGTACTTACTGCTACTACTGGTCTACTACGTAAGTATACTCCCTACAAAAGTATTAACTTACTGTAAGCATCTAGATACAGATTAGATACACTCGCAGTGACAAGAGGAAAGAGAGATACTACTAGAACTGGGAGGTTGTCAATCGGGCGGTCAACACCATCCCAGTCCAATTACCAAAGCAAGCAAAAATCCTAGAAGAGAAATGTTTCGGGTGCCTATTTTCTGCCTTTCCGTTTTCCCCCAATTGTCCAACAATAATTAAAGACGAGAACCCCAAATTTAATTGCTGTGTAGATAGATAGATGGATAATCATAAGAATCTTCCAAACATTCCCTGATGGATTCGATTTACTGTAAGTACAAAGTAATATTCTTCCGGGGATTGGGCTCATTGGAGGAGATTGTTCCCGTACTTTTTTGTTTGTGTTCCCCCTCCTCCAACCCCGAAGATGGAAATACTTTTTTGGCAGCTCAGCGCGCGTCCATCATCTGTCTCAGATACCGTAGGTCCGATTAGGCAAAGAGAAAAATTCTAGACACGTCCTTGACCCCAGTTTGCGTCCCGTTGGCGGGTGGATCGCGAACAGATACCTTTCCTTTCTCGGGAGGATGGGTTCCACCGGTTTTCCGCTTTCCTTCTTCAATTCTCTTTCGACACCTCGGATATGAGACAGATTCCAAGGAGATGACCGAGTTCAGAGATATGAAAAAGAAAGGATGGGTGTACAGGAAATAGGAAGCAGAAAAAAAAAATTAAGGAGGGAAATTCCACATTCCCAAGAGTGTGAAATAGGAGAGGAGACAAAAATAGTAGGAAATATCCTATTTAGGGGGTGACGTGGTCAATCAACACACGAACTGCTGTACACCACAGTACTTCATTTACCTTAGTACTTACTTCACTTCGTCGCTTTTTCACTGATGGAGACAGCCGGGTGTTTCTCTCTGAGCAAGCCAAAAAGCAGCATCAGTACCAGCAGAACAGCAACTCTGGTTAGACACCTGGGAGGGCGGCCTTAGTGCCACGCTAGGCCGAGCGGGGCGGGAGAAGAAAAGACTAGGTTCCAACCGACTTGTGCCGCACCCAACCCTCTTCTTTTTTTTTTTTTCTTTCTTTCTTCCTTTTTTTCTTTTTTCCTTCTTCCATAATGGAATTAATAGGAATTAAGTCCTCCCTCAATTTTAATTATTCCATAACACGGTGGATACGTTTCCATGGTCCAGGGCAAGCCACCAATATTTAGCTTCATTATTGATCTGGAGTCCGTGTAGCGTCATCGCTTGCTTTCTCTTTTAGAGATTCGAAATCCGCTACAGTTGCCTCCTACGTATTATCTCCTCGTATCTTTCTTCTTTTCGCTTCCCGGAGCTAAGTCTATCTATCGACTTATCTCTCTCTCCGTCTGAGTGGGATTTAGTAGTCGTAATCCAGAGCTGCGCTTGTAAGTGAACAACAACAACAATAACGATAATAAATAAAATAAAAAAGGGTCTGAAAGAAATCAAAACAAAACAAAAAGCTAGATCTACACTCGGACCTATCTACAAGTAGTAAGTACTTACTTAACAAGTATACCTTTGGATATGAATTATGGAGTAACTTTCCAACTGATCATCATGGATCAAGTGTTGCTTTCCCTTTTTCATTTTTAGCCTCTGATGATCCCGTTGAAATCTCTGCAGGTACGGTGTAGTTTAGTTTTCGTTCTATACATCAGCTCCTTCTTACCGCGGAAAGGCTTATTGTGTCTTTCCCCCTCAAACCTGGAACCGGGTACGGAGAAGTACGGGTATTAGCCAAGGACTTACTTAAGTTACTACTGACAGGCATTAACGATTATTATTCTCTCCTCTCCTCTCCTCAATCATGACATGACATGACATGACACTCGCACACACACATACCCCTGCACCTGCACCTGCAGATGAATTGAGAGGACGGTAGTCACACATGTGTTTCCTGAACTTTCTAGTCCTATCGCCCCTTAATTTGGGAATTCGGACAGACGTTTGATTGAATGGTAGGATCCGAATCTGATCTCATATCATCACAGCCGTACTATGTAAAAAAGATGGTTAGTCTATATGACTGGTAATCGTCACCACGAGCAGAGAACCCGGATAGAATTTAGTAGTTCTAGAAGAGCTCTTTCACCGACCAGAGTATTTGCACCGTAAGCATGCAATAACTAATCACCTACAGGACAACAAAAAAAGTGACATAATTAATTAATTAATTAACAGACGGAACGGATTCCATAAGTTCCTTCCATTCATTCATCCATTGCAGCGGGGAGGAAGGAAGTCAAGACGGAGTGGCTCCGCACTTTGCATAGTACTTCCACAATATGAATACGGGAAAAAAAAGAAAGATGTATCCGCCCGAACAACTCTAGATAGATAGATATATATCACTTCGACATGTCACTTATTTATATATGAAACCTGACCTTTCTTAATACAAAATATAAGAATATATATTATGCACATCCCAATTGAATAGAATACCCTGATAAATAAGATAGATGGTAATTGATTGATTGATTGATTGATTGATTGACCAGTCTACTCAAAACTGCGCGCGGGATCGGCACAAAAGCCCGTCATTTTCCGTCCTCGGGATGAGTCGAGGCCTAGTTCTAGAACCTTGAGTCTTTTTTTCCACCTTGGCTTGGAATAATGAAACGCCCGTTCAAAATGACAAAAAGGGCCCAAGGTCTTTACTCGAAGTTGCAGGTTTGTGTGTGAGTGATCTGATGTCATGGCGGTCCTTTGTGTGCGAAAATCGATCGAATCAGATGATAGTTGATTATGTTCTAGAAATTTATTCCCCCCATCCAGATGCATCACATCCATTTCCTGCGCCACCAGTATACTTCCAACTATCTTATCCTGCCTTTTTCGATCATTTTGTGGTGGTAGGCACATGATAACTATTAGTATGACTGCTCCATTCACCAATTAATAGTAACATTCTTGAGGTTCACTGGTTCACTTTACTTAAGTCAGTGGCATAGCCAGATCTCCTACGGAGTACAGTGTGTACTAGGCAGTCTGCTCAAGAACCTCATGCTCAGCTATTGACACCATCAGATCCATCCAATGACTCGTAGGAACTCATTAGCGTGGGAGACACTCGAACATGATTCAAGCAAGCAAGCAAGCAAGCAAGATAGAAGGCCAAACTTCCGTTCGCCCTGCCAAATCAACAATCCACAATCCACAATCCACCCTTTGGCCATCGCTGACGTCACGGGATCCATCCAGTCTGCGATTGAAACCTGAAGCCCATACTGTACTACTGCTTATGGATTAGCTACAAAGTAATCCACAGTGCCCAAAGAGAAGTAATATCCTGAATCTTACTCCCACCCCTCCCCAATATCTAAATCTTAATTATTAGCTAAAAATCATCATTCTATCCCATCCCCCAAAAGATAGACACCAAAGTATAAATCGTAGCCATGAATGAAACCGAGGTTAGGCAGACAGTTTGTTGTGTTGTTGTTTCATCGTCAGTCTCAAAAAATAGACTGACGATCAAACTTACCCTATTCTATCTTCCATTCCCCCCACTTACTCTTCTCACTAGACGGGGCAAAGTTACTCAATACAGTAGCTTAGCACTACAATATGGTTATTGGTTTGTGGTTAGTATTTAGTAGTTAGGTTAAGCTCTGAAACTTTCCTAGAAACGAGAAGGAAGACAAAACGTTACAACAAACACGTGGGGGCGTGAGAAGTGCCCAGCAAAGGGGGGAGGGGGGAAATTGTTTCAGGTTTGAAGTTAAATTGCTATATACTTGTGCTCATGGTAGCTTGGATGGGATTTTAGAAAAATATTTATGTTGCGTCATGAACGGTGATTGAGTACTGGATAGTCGCTGTTTTTACTAGAGTGAGAAGGTTTTGTGGCATTGGCTGTATAGATATGATACTTGCTTCGCATCTCGGTAAGTTCTAAATTGGAATCATAGTGTAGTTACGGGAAGAAGTTGTCATTCATTCTTACATTTGTGGTTGTTCGTGTTGCATCACGATATAGTACTAGTACTCGAGGTGAGAGGGTGGGGGGGGGTGGGAGGGGATAGATGTGTCGTTGGAGGGGTGTGTGTGCATGCTGGCAATGAGTAGTACGAATCTTCTTCGCTGCTGTGGTTGTTCCTAGATACTTGTTTTTGACAAAGGCAAGGTGCAGGTAGTTGTTCATCTAAGTGGGTTCCATGGAAAAGGAAGTTTCTAGTGGAGTGTTGAGAGAATTGCAGATGTTCTGATGCTTGAGAACTTTGCCTTCTGTATGGGCCTGTGATTACCGGTAATGTAACAGGGATCATAAGGGTTTTATTATCGTGCGTTAAGCGATCTCACTGCATAGATATCGTGCCTGCCGTTCATCGTCATGATAAATACGATTATAGTATACATAGTTTGTACTCTGTACTCTGTGGGTGATGCCAATCTACCGTCCAACGTACTTCAACTCCAACTTCCGCAAGGGGATATACGATAGGCTGGTGAAAACAAATGCCAGCTCGTTGGCAATGTCTCCACCATCCGTACCGATCTTGCGCGCCAGCGCTCCAACATAATATGTTTCGTCCATGCCGACGATCCATCCGGCCGCACCGCACAGGAACGCCGTGAGACCGGCGTACCCGACGGGCAGTTTCGACGGCGTGTTCCAGGCGTCGAGGTCATAGTTGGCCAGGTTGCCGTTGCGGAAAAAGTAATGTTCGCAGAACAGAATGACAAAGAAGGAGGTGTTCCAGTAACCCAAAAGGGAGAGGAAGTTATCCAGGACAGTCAGCAGGTGGTCCCGGCCTGCGATACCAATGACAAGAATGCAGGCGAAAACGAGGAGCGTCCAGATGATTCGAGGGATCTTCTGGAACGGCTTGGCGAATAGTTGCGCAGAGAGTGATCCGGCGTAGATGGCAATGCAGTTCATACCGACTATAGTTTGATTAGCGGCGATTACGGCATGAGATAAGTGGGTGTACTTACTACCACACAGCACCAAAAGCACCAAGAGGAATTTAGCAAATTTGCGGGGATAGATGATGGTCTGCAAAATCTCTCCGGTTCCTTCGTCATAGGCAGCAGCCCATTCTGGGTTCCCATCCAGAGCAGATGCAATGCACGCACCGAGCAACATTCCGACACAAGTGGGGAGTGAGATACCCAGGGTGGTGTAGATGAAGACCTTGACCTTGGAGGTGTTGACCGGGTAGTGCACATAGAAGTCAGACACGATCGAGCACCACGAAGCACTGGAGCCGTAGATAACGCTGATCAGGCTCAGAACGTTTCCAGACTTGGTCAACCCGGACACAGTCCCGGGATCTGAAAGGCTGGCATGGTGAGCCGCTTCACCATAGACGATGATGAACACGACAAAGGAAACCATCCAGATATATTGCTCAATCGTCATGACAGCCTTGAGACCGAAAAAGCTGAAACACAGACTGACGCATGCAACGATGACAACACCCACGACCATGGAGATGTGATTGTCCGAAACAGCGCGAAGAGCTTGACCACCGGTGATGCAACTGACAGAGGCCCAACCCAGCTGTTCGACGACATTCAGCGCCGCGATGATGGACGAAGGGTAGAAGCCAAAGGAGTATCTAGAGATGGCGACCTGGCGAAGGCCAGTGCCGGGGCCCATTGTGGCACACCAACCCTAGTGAACCGACATGTAAGCCTTTAGACAGACCAGAAGCTGAGTGCGCAACATTGCGTCGCAGCGGAAAAGAGGCAGGGTAGAGAAAGTGGTATGCGAACCGTGAGAGCAGCGCCCAGAAACGTCGCGCATATCATAATGGCGATCGTCTGCCCTAAGGTCAAGCCAAACTCCTTCCCCATAAAGCCCGTACTGAAACAACTGAGGTTCATAGTGGCCGAGGCCCAGATGAAGGCCATGGCGAGGGTGTTGGGCGGTTTGCGATCTTCGGGCAAGACTCGGTCGAGACTGTGGGACTCGACGCCCATCTTCCGATCCAACAGCTCTTCATAGTAGCGGATGCGGGCGAAGAAACCGCTAGGTTTGACTAGGGCATGTTCCTCCACCGAAGCCGTGGCCTGCTTCGGTTCGATGGGGTTGCCATCCTCAACGGTTTTGAAATCCATCCTAAAGAGGAGGAGGAGGAGGGGCAATTGGGGGGAAGGGGGGAGGGGGAGAAATTGCGGGGAGGGAGAAAGAAGTGCGGCAGCAGAGCAAGGGAGAAGGAGGAGAGAAAATAAGGGCTCACGAGACACCTCTTCTGCTCAATGTCTTCCCCAGAAAACAGGTGTTCGAGGCTGCAATATATTTGTAGGCAAAAATTGCCATTGGGCTTGAAGTCGGCGACGAATGGGATATCGCAGACCTCGCTAGTCGTGCCAGATTGGTCGTTTTTTTTTTTATCTTTGGCCCTCACAGCAGGTCGGCCTATTATTTGTGGAACAGGGTTTTCTTATCACAGATTGCCCCAGTCCGTGTCTTTTTAGTGCCAACCGGGCGAGACATGGTCAGATAACACTTGAAAACCTTTTCCCGCAAGTCACGGTGCTCGACGATAATTGCTGGGCGAGTTCGGCCAAGTCCGAAGTGACTATATTGCTCCAGTGCTATTTGGGTTTGATAACAGGGTTACCACTGGATTTCAGGGTTATATTTCCATGCCAGAGAGGCATAGAAAAGCCTCGGGTTTCTCTCTCCATGCGAACAGTTGCCATCGAAGCAGCATATCTCCGTTAAGGTTTCTGGTCCACTTCGGCCCAGCCTTTAGTCGCGCGTGCTTGTGTTGCAGTGAGTGGGTCAGGGGATTCGGGAGAGAACAGCAATCAGTCAACCACTACTACTGTGATATATTTACTCCCTACTCGAGTTATAAGGAATTGCTCGCAGTGGTAGATGGTGTCATCATCTTGATTTTGATTTTGATATACTATGTTTTCTGGAATTTTGTGGGCGAAATTGGCATCAGCCCACACCGTATGGTGGCCAAGCCTACAGATGGAAACCACAAGTATATGCCAAGGCAACAACAAAATACTACTCGAACTTCAACCGTGAACAATATGGAGAACTTGAAGTGAACTGTGTAACCGTCCTAACTTTCTAAGTGCTTGTTTTGCCACCCGCCAGCTGTCACTGCTTGAGGCTTGTGCTGCTCTAGGCTCTTCTATGAAAGGGAATGTATCGATCAAGCCTTGAGATATTTGGATTAGGCTGTTTCGATGTCTATCTGACGGGGAAAACGGCACTTTCTCCGACAGGAATGACTCTGTTTGTGCTCAGCCAGGCCCAGGTAAAGATCCGTATTGCTGGTGCCAGTATAACCATACATTGGGGGTGTTCTTGGGTTGTTCTAGAAGCAAGCGCCGTATACATGGTTTTTGGTGCGGAACCAAACGGGTGCATTATACTCATTCAAAGAGACCATTGAACCCCATAATTGTCTCTCATTATAAGCTAGCTACCTCCTTCAAGTTTAGTCACCATCGTCCATAATAATGTCATCTCAATAGAGTGCGTCCATAATGATGCAAAGTCAGTGTGGTCCGTCGACTTCCAAGCATGCGGTGACTTCCACCATACGGAACAACTACCAAAAAATCGTAGAGGATCAACCTAGTCCATTATGGAAAAAAAAATTAAAGAAAAGACATGTGTTTCCTACCCATGCGTGCATTGGAGGCGTCTCCGCTGGTGGATCGGACAGGCAGAACTCAGCCTCAACCTGCAAGCCGGGCGCACTATCCCAACACACCAATCACCTCAAATCGAACCATGCCCATTGGGGAATCGGGATTGTCAGGTAAATGGTGCTCGTTGGTGGGTAGAGTTCATGATGGCATGGCCATACTAGGTGACGGAATTGACGCACTCTCCGCAACGGCGACCAAACGTTTGCTGGCAATCTTGTGTTGTTTTGGGTAATGATCGGTCAAGTCATGGCGGGTCAGATGGATGTCTTGCAGTTGTAATCCATAAAAAAAGCACCAACAGGCACCCGTGAAGGGAAAAGAAAAGCAAAGCAAGTTGACGGTGGGAGTGGATTTTCCAGAAAGTCCATAAGGTTGACAGAGAAAGAGAGACGGCGGCTCCGCCCATCAACCCGAAAGGGAATGACTTCCTCCCCCGGCCTTTCCAACTTTCCTCTCCGACCACTCGGGCTTGTTGTCTGTCCTCTTCTTCCTCTTCCTCTTCTTCCCTCTCTCTTCTCTCTTTCTCTTTCCCTTCCCCATCTCCAGATCTCCTCCGTGGCTATCGTTCCCCCCTCTGGATTGTGTCAATTACATTGACCCCCTCCTCCTCCTTCTTCTTCTTCCTCTCCATTCGCCTCTTCTCTCTCTCTCTCTCTCTCTCCCCCTCCGCTCTTCCTTTTCCATCCTCCTTCTCCGCCTTTCCACTTTTAGTCTTTTGTTTCCTCCTCTTCTCTCTCTCCCACTTTCCCCCCCTCATTTTCTCGGCTTAATCTTGGGACACACCTTCACCATAAATACTTTCTTCGCATTTAGCCTCTGCTGGTAGCAATTGAGCTTTTCCCTTCTTGACTACACTTTTGCGGCCCCAGGCCATTTATTCTTTTTGGATCACTAGCTCAACAAAACATTGGGTACTGTTGGACGTCTGTTAACAGCCAGCTATAATCTCCATCAACTCGCATTACTTGTCAGTATGTCGGAGCACCTTCCAGACTATCAATTGGTCTCTTCTAACGTCACCGGCACTCAGCAATAGTCTCCCCCGCCGTCCCTCTCCGTTCGAGATCTTTCCGAATCCACCGATCGTCCCACTACCATGGCTTCCGAAGTGTCGAGTGTCAATGTCAACGGCGGTGCCAAGTCTCGGGCTGCCATGCTGGAAGAGCAGCATGCCCGTGATGAGGCGCACAAGGTTACTGTGGAAGATGTTGTCGATGAAGAGGATGTGAAGCACCCCCCTCCGTCTACCTCGGTGACCGAGGCCGAGTCCTCCACTCCGGCGCAGACCCCGGCCCCAACCGCCTCTCCAGTCCCCAAACCAGCTCCCAAGAAGTCACCTGCTCTTGATGTCCAGTCCGAGGAGCTCTTCCCGGCTCTTGGAAGTGGCCCGAAGCCCAAGGTCCCCGCCGCCTCTGCTTGGGGTGCCCGCGGTTCCGCTGCTGCTGCCGTCGCCAACGGCGCTGCCAGCGGCGCACAGGCTGGTATGTTTTACCCGCTCCATTGTTTGACAAGCGCATCGTTATGCTGATGTATTCCTGAACCAGCCCCCGGTGGTTTCGGTTCTGAGGTTCCCAGGATCATGAGTCTGCCCGGAAAGCACATGGAACAGCTCCGGTTGGCGCCCTCGCAGATGCTCCCTCGAGGCCAGCTCAAGAAGCCTCTGCGCGATATCCTGCGCGATATCTCTAAGCGATCCAAGGCCAATGTCGATATGCGCGGCGGACCCGGTGGCTCCATCATCTTCGAGGGTAAAGGCTCCGTGGATGCGGTCAGGCAGGCCCTGAAGGAAGTCGCTCAGCAGGTCGGATCCAAGGCATGTATTTCCGTTGTCGAGGTTTTGGGTGGATTATCGACTAATGTCTTTCCATAGCAATCGGTTCGCGTTCCGATTCCTACATCCGCTCGGCCTCACATCATCGGACGCCAGGGTGCCGTCGTTCAAGACATCCAGCAGCGGACAGGCGCTCGTGTGCAGGTACCTCGCGCCGAGGAATCTGCTCCTGGAGCGGACGATGACGACAGTGACACTATCGACGTCCTGATTGAGGGTGATGCTGTTGCGGCCGAGATGGCTCGTCGGGAGATTGAAGCGATCGTCAAGGAGCGCGCCTCCAACATGAGCCTGCGCCTCAAATCCGTCCCGCCGGAGTTCTTCCCCTTCATCGCCGGTGCTCACAATGCCAACCTCAAGGAAATCGAGGAGCGTACCAAGGCGCAAGTGCATATCCCCAGATACGACACCTGGCAGAGTCAGCCTCCGCCTCAGGAGGCTGATCCCGGTCACGTCCAGTTCGTGCCGGTTCCCGAGAAGCACATCCACATCTCTGGTGAGCGTGCGGCCGCTCAAGAAGCTCGCGCGGAAATTGAGAGACTTGCCGCCGACCTGCAACGCCAGCTCACGCTTCGTCAGCTCGCCATCAACCGTGGCCAGCATCAGTTCATCCTTGGCGACAATGCCGATGCTCTGCACGAATTCCTTGCTGACACTGGCTGTGCCATTGTCCTGCCTCCTGCATCCGACGAGAGCGAATTCCTCACCATCACTGGTCCGCTTGACTGCATTGAGAATGGTATCAACCGGGCCATGGATCTTGCCACCAGCATGCAGATGGCAAGCATTGACCTCTCTCGTCAGCACCCCGGTGCTCCCATGGGTCCCCACGCCCATGCTCGTGCCCTGACCCAGTACCTTAGACAGCGTCAAATCATCAAGGAGCTGGAGAGAATGTATGACGCACGGATCGCCCTTCCGCCCAGCTCGGACGGCCCTGTGACCTGGGAGGTCTACTCTAGAGATGGCAAGAACACCATTCGCGCAAGATCCGATATCATGAACTTGGTCCAGGCTCACCCTCCTACGAGACTTCGTAGCCTCGCGGTCGACCCCTACTTCCACCCTTACCTGCGCTCTCGGAGCATTCCCAAGTTGCGGAGTGACTACGGCGTTCACCTTCTTGTACCTGAGGAGCTTGATAGCTCCGACGTGGTCTTGGTGTATGAAGGTCCTTCCGCTTCTGCTGCTCAGGTCGAGATTCCTCGTCAGAGACCTTCTGCCGCTGAACTTGCTACCTTCGAAAAGACCCTCCAGGAAGCTCAAGAGTATCTTCTGAGCACTCTCGGTGACCAGAACGATGTCGTGGCGACATCTGTGAGCGTGCCCGGCAAGTACCAGGACAAGGTTCGCAAGTTCATCTCCCGTCAACAGGAAGCGAAGAGTGAGGATGAGATCCCTGTTCGCGCCATTGTCGGAGATGGACGTAACCGCAACGAGTCCGAGGTTGCACTTCGTGGACCCTCCCGTCTGGTGGAGGATCTTGCTTCGAAGATCCAGGCGTTTGTTGTGGAGCAGGAGAAGGATGACCTCGAAAGAGGATACACCACATCTTTCGACTTCCCCCAGAAGTATGCCAACTTCCTGATTGGCAAGCGCGGTGAGAACATCAACAAGCTCCGTGACGAGTTCGATGTCGACATTAAGGTCGAGGGGGGTAAGGTTGAGGTCAAAGGACCCAAGGCCAAGGCCGATGCCGCCAAGACTAGAATCATCAACCTGGGCAAGAAATTGGAGGATGAGACCACTCATGTTCTGAAGGTTCCTGCCCAGTATCATCGGGAATTGATTGGCCAGAAGGGAAATCAGGTCAACAAACTGCAGGACCGCTACTCTGTCCGTGTGCAGTTCCCACGTGCTGCCGTGGCTGCTACGACCAGCGATGACCAGTCCGTCGCCGAGACTTCTAGCGACGCAGGTGGCTCTCGCCCCAACCGCCCTCAGCAGGCGCTGGATGAGGTTATCGTCAAGGGTCCCAGCAAGGGTGCTGATGCTGCACGCGATGAAATCCTTAGCTTGCTTCAGTGGGTGATTGACCACTCCTACACGGCCACAGTGTCTGTCGCTCAAGCGCAAATCCCCTCCTTGATTGGCCAGCGCGGTCGCGAGATGGACAAGCTCCGCGCCGACACCGAGGCCCAGATTGATGTTCCGGGAGTCAACGATGCTCCGGATGAGTCGGGCCGTGTGCAGATCAAGATCAGAGGCACCAAGAAGCAGGTTGAGGAGGCAAAGAAGATCCTGGAGCAGCGGTCTAAGGAATTCGACTCCATCGTTACGAAGACGATTGACGTGGACAAGAAGTACCACAAGTCGCTCATTGGCGGTGGTGGTGAGTAATCTGTGCCCATTCTTACCAAGGTAGCATGAGTAACTAACAGTTGCGCAGGTGCCAACATCCGCAAGATCGTCGCCGAGGCTGGTGGCCCCACCGATGGCAGTGCTTCCCGCATGGTCAAGTTCCCTCGTCCAGAGAGCAGTGACTCGGCCATCAAACTTGAAGGAAATGGCCAGGTGGTTGAAAAGATCATTGCTGCGATCCAGGACTTTGTCAAGGAGCGTGAGGATCAGGTGACCACGACTGTTGAGGTTCCCCCGTCTCAGCATCGTCTGCTCATTGGCCGTGGAGGTGAGACCCGGCGCGGCATTGAGTCCAAGTTCAACATCACGCTCGACATTCCTAAGCAGGGATCCGGACGCTCGGACATCAAGCTGAAGGGCCCCAGCAACGCAGTCGCGGAGGCGAAGGAGCACATTGAGTCCATGCTCAAGGATCAGCAGGGCGAGACGGTGGAAGTTCCCCGGAACCTGCACCATGCTATTTCTGAGAATGGCTCTTTCTTCCGTCGCCTGCGCAACGACTACCGCGTTACCGTGGACCATGCCGGACAGCAGGTGCCTCCCAAGCCTGCCTCCGAGGACTCCCGCGGTGCAGTCAACGGTTCCTCTTCTCTTCCCTTGATCACAGATGAGCCTAGCGAAGCCGTGGAGGCTCACTCATGGAAGATCGTGGACAACAGCCCGGCCGCTGCCGATCCCTCCGAACCGGCGACCATCCCGTGGGTGCTGTCGGGAACCAGCGACAACGTCGCCAAGGCCAAGTCGGCCCTGGAGAAGGCTATCGCCAATGCTTCCCAGCAGTCCGCTACTGGCTACCTCATCCTTCCTGACCCGAAGACATACCGCTTCGTTGTCGGCCAGGGTGGTAGCCAGATCAACGCGATCCGCAAGCAGACTGGCTGCCGGATCAATGTGCCCAAGGACCAAGCCAAGGGTGAGGCGATCGAGATCAAAGGGAGCAAGGAGGGCCTGGAAGAGGCCAAGGATATGATCCTGGAGGCTGTCCGCGCTGGCTTGAGCGGCAACTCCCGGTCATAAGGGGAGGAAGGCCGTTAGGTGATTCCACA